CCCCGCCTCCTCTTGTCCCCAGCAGCACATGGGAAGCAGACTTCAGCTGCATGCCGCTTTTCCTGGCTGGTGCTGACCCGGCTGGGTCAGTCCCACCCGGAGCAGAACGTGACTGAAGCCAGCTTCCCACAAGCTGCTGGGGACAGGAGGAGCCCGGCCAGGTCTGCACCGGCCAGCAGAAGCGTAGGCGGAGCCACGTGCCGCTCAGGATGGGACAAGCCCGGCCAGAGTAGCAGGGGCTCAGCTGCATTTTCCCCTGCCTATACCAGTCAGTCCCGAGCATCACATGGCTCCGCTGCCGCTTCTGGTAGCTGGTGCCAACCTGGCTGGCCTCCTCCCGTCCCCAGCAACACGTGAGAAGCCAGCACAGGGGGGCCTTGGCAGGCGGGGTCCTGGAGTGACCTCTGCAGGGTGAGGCAGCAGGAGCCGGTGTCTGCTGGACCCTGCACTCCGGGCTTGCAGCGCTGAGGCCACCGGGGTTGCATGTGCGAGCGGCTGGGCACCACGGTGAGCGGGGCCGTGCGGGTGAGGGGCTGCGGTGCAGCGGCCGCCTCGCTCCAGCCCCCCTCAGGCAGCGCCGGCTCATGGGGCTGCGCTGCTCGGGGGATGCGGAGCTATTTCTCTCTCCCTTTTAGTCTCTGGGGCAGTAGCTGGCTGGATGCTGAATGGGTCCCTCCTGCCCCTGCCCACTAGCAGCTACCACAAACCTTGCAGTAATAGGCAGGTACAGTAGGGCTATACAGGCAAGGTCTCTCTGGCCCAGGACAGAGGGTGTTTGAATACGGCTGGCTGGCCCACTGGGTGATAAAAAGTTCATGATCCGGCCCCACATTCAAAAAGGTTGGACACCCCTACATTAGTCACATTATATGATATGCCACTAGCAAGTTTAGCTATTAGTGTGCTGTATGCTGAAGAGACACTCAAGAGCTTTAATAACTTTAAAGAACAGATGTACAGGGACTGGGAAATCATAAAATGCCTATTTTCACAGCAGCCTTCAATTTTCGTAAGTTAGGGAGATGCAAGTCAATACCAACAGATAGCTTCTCAAACAACAGCATTTTTCTGATACCTGTAATCAGGTCCCATGCCACTATACACCAAGCCTATGTGTTTGGTAATTGATTCTACTTTGTGCACACTCCTTTCGTCATAGAGAATAGATTTCTGTTTCTTCTCAGTTGCCAAAACAACACCATTTGCAGCTGGAAAGGGGAAAGAAAAAATACTTTGGTTTAAATATATAAAGGTTACCAGGAGTGACCAAAATTAAACAGATTTGCTAGTACATGAAAAATCTCTCTTCTTCCCACCAGATCTACAGATCTTATCGTTCATCTAGGATGTTAAACAATTACTTTTGAGACCTCCACTGCATCGCATACAAGTGCTCAACATGCGATTATATTCAATTTTAAAACAAAAAAAAGGAAAAAAAAAAAACATTTTCTTCATTTTTTCATTATGTGCAATTGTTCCAGAAAACACATGAAGCAACAAAACACCTACCCAGGGAACAAAAATGCTCAAAATAAACGTGTTTTTTCCAGTAAAATCCCCCTCAACATAGTAAAATTATCAAACATTTGTACTTCTCAAATAGCATTAAACTCTTCTCTTCCCACTTTAAAACCATTTCTCTGATAAAATTCAATGCTATGAGACATTATCCAGATAAGCATATGAAAATCCATTTAAAGGAAAACAAATGAAGACAGGCCATACTTTTTTTTTTTTTTTTTCCATTCACCATTCTCTCTCCAGGTCCCAACAAGGGGAAAGACAACAATGTCAATTGCAATTTAATAGGCCTAAATCTATCCTAGTTTTCCCAACACCCAATACTCTGAAGCCAACACCAGGTTAGTCATATAAGCATACCTTTAATTCCAACAGATGGGGCTCCTGCAGCAACTGCCGCCAGTGCATATTCAATCTGGACAAGTTTACCAGAAGGACTAAAAAAAACAAACAAAACAGAGTTCAGCCATAATATCGTTCACCATCTTTAATATGTCATATTGAAATTTGTCTTTTATCATTTACTTTTTACCTCTTGCATCTTAGCAGTGAATTGCATACATCACAAATGAAAACAGTTGTCACTTTCTCGCTAGCTTTAAGAGGACAAGGACTAGTTTAGCAAAGAACTTGCTGAGGCGCAGCTCTTCCAGGAAACCTGCATACACCATGCCTGGCCCTGTTTATTTTAAGTAACTACAAAGCAGGTCCAAGAGTTATTTTTCTTCTCAACCTTGCAATCCCCACCTCTTCCTTACCTGAGAGATCTGTATTTAACATGGCACTTTCAGGAGCAGGACATGGATTCTTAACAGGCAGAAAGCAAAAGCAAAAGCCCCAAGACAGACTGCTAAACAAATTCTCTTTCTAATTGCATGGTATGCCTTTTCTTTTTTTAAAGGCTGAGCACCACAATATTCTGAATAACTAGAAAACCAGGCAAATGGCTTGCTGTAGAGTTACAAAAGTGAGTTTAATAGGCCAGTGCAATATCTGCTCCCTCTTGCTGAACAAAACAGCAGGGAAGGGAATTCACACACACACACATATTTATCCTTGCAACAAAAACTGGGGCAAATACCATATTTTCTCACATAAAACATACCCCTTTTCCCCCTAAAATCAGCCCTGCCCCAAACCTGGGGTGCATCTCCTAGGTAAGGAGAGCAGCTTTCTACCAGGTGGATGGGGGAGGCATAGTAGCACTCTGCTTTGGCTCCCACTGGGCTGTTTGAGCAGCTGGGGGAGTCGATTCACTTAACAGCCAATTTTTCTTCACTCCACAAATGTCAACCACCTTCTCCCCTTTTTAGTGTTTTCAGTGTTTCACTGACTAAACAAACCCTCTCTCTGGGCAATTTTGGCACCTGGCAGCTGCTCCTGTCAGCCTAAGCAGCACGAGGCAGCCATCATCCCGGGGGACCTTACTTTGGAAAGGCAAAATGAAGGGCCGCAAAAAGGAGGGGCGCTATATTCCAGAGCACTATGTAAACCAGACAATACGGTACCTCACCGCCCACCCCGCGGCAGCTATACACGAGAAAACACGGTGCCGGCCTCCTCCGGCCCGGCCATGACGCTGCAAACCGTAAGCCTCGCCTCCCCTCCCCTCCACCCCCGCGGCCGTCTCCGCAGCCCCCACCACGGCGGTCATCCTTCCTGCACCACCGCTCCGCTCCGCTCTGCGCCGAGCCTCAGCCGCCGCCATCCCTCAGCAGCCCGGGCCCGTACCTGAAAGTGGTGAGAGAAAAGCTATATCCGCGCTCCGCCATCTTGGAACGCTTCCGGCCGCCACTGCTCTGCGCACGCGCAGCTCCTTCCTTCCTCCCGCGCCGGCCCCCGCCGCCCTGATTGGCTGGGGGGAAGGGAGAGCCAGGCCTGTTGCATACCGGGACACACCACCCCCATCCCTTGAAGGAGGCCCGTCCCTGGGAAGGTGGTCGAAAGGCATGCCGGGACTTGGAGTCCCAGGTGGCTGGGGCACGCTAGGCATGCTGGGGCGGGGAGTCCCTCGCCGCTTGCTTCCCGACATGCTCCGCGCATGCTTCGTGCCGGAGAGACGTCATGGTGGCGCTTGTCGTTTTCGTGTTGCCGCTGCCGCCGCTGCGCGGCTTCTTGCGGCGCTGCTGGGGGCAGCTGTGGCGGGCCTTCCCCGGCGCCGGTCCGACCTGGGGTGGGTGCTGCGCGGGGCTCCCGGCCTGAGGCGGGGCGGGACGGGGCGTTGCTCTGCCTGTCCGTCCGTGTCCGGCGTCTGTGCATGTCCACGTGGGAAAGCGATGTTTCCTGGACTTCACCTGCGTGGCGATGTGACTCCATGGGCCACATCCCCTGCCAGGGCTAGGGACAGAAGTTGCACACACAGCGGTATGGGGTGGGGGGGGTGGAAATCAGTGCAACCGCAAAACAACAGAAGTTCCCTGCACGTAAACCGTTTTCAAAATGGCGGACACTGGTTCAAGATAAACCTGGGTGGATGTAGTATCAGACGTAAGTGATGTACATTAAATCAGTTCGTTGAACTGCCCCAGAGCCCCTCCGGATTCAAGGTAACTCGCAGTCTGCCAGCATCCCAGGATGCACCGACCCTGTAAACTGGCTGATTTGGCCCAAGCTGTCTGCTCCAGCCAAGCAGGGAGCTGTGCTCTAGCACCCCCCCAGGTCCTGGGCTGGGCCACTGCGGGCATGGGGCTGCATTTTTGAGTCAAAAGTGAATGTTTACTCTTGATGGTCCTGTTTGGAGCAGGGGTTGGATTAGACCTGAGGTCCCTGCCAACCCCTGTTTCCTATGATTCTGTGATTCACTTGCTTCTCGGTTCAGTGTATGCATTCTAGACTGATCTGCGAAGACTGAATTGATTCAGCCTCGGGCATTTTGACTGTCTGTACTTAAGTAAATGAAGTGGCCCTGTGACAAGTTCATCGCTAAGTATTTTTTCCCTTCTCTGTCCTAAGAGCCAGCATTGGCTGTTCAGGCTCCAGCTGCTCTTCCTGGGCTAGCGGAAGATGTAGGTGAAAGTAATGATGCTCCAAGCTTCTTGGATAACATTTTTTGGATGGCAGCTCCCAAGTCGAGGCGGACCATTGAGGTAAACCGCTGCAGGAGACGAAACCCCCGTAACCTGATAAAAATCAAGGTAACTTGACAGATTTCTGTCAGCTTTCCCTCTGGGTCATCAAAAGGAATTTTTTGCCACAAAGCTTGCAGTACATTTAAATCAGGGGTGTCATAGGTGCTCATTTCCCAGGCTAGACATGGACTGAAGGGCTCCCCACAAGCCAGATCTAGACTAGGCTGTGTCCGTGGGGTAAACTACAGCAGCGTGAGCAGCACTGCACTGGGGCAGTGGTCACTCACTCCCTGCTGCCAGAGGCCATCCCCAGTGGAGCCTTGTAACCATGAATTCATTGCTCCCCCCGATACGTTGGCCCACAAACAAGATACAGCCCTTGGGCCCTATGTGACACTCCTGGTTTAGAAAATATGCACTCTGTTCATGCTTTAAAGCTAAGTAAAAATATTCCAAATAATGTCAGTACAAGCTGAAACATTTCTGTAGACATTATCTGTTTTTAAAAGCATTTGCCAGCCCTGCTTTCCCACAATCCTGTGTCACTTTCAAAATGGATTCAAAGAGTTGCAAACAAAGAAAGCAGCAAAAGACTATTCCTAAATTAGATTACAGTGCAGATGGATTTTATATTTTATTGGTTTATATCTAAACATTTCAGTATGAGTGAAACTTCTAAATACATAACCGTATCTTGATTTGCAAAGTATCTTATAACCCAGTCCTGCAGATTTTGCCAGGTGTAATACTTCAGGCATTAACTTCAAAGGGCTGCTCTTGGTTATAAACACTAAGTTTAATGATACCTATGCAAAACAAACTTAATATTTGCCAAAAGTGTAATTAAAACTGTAAATCAGTAAGCCAACAAAAAACTCTAAACCAGCTCCCTCACAGTTGATTTGTTGTATTTTGACAACTAATCCTTAATTTTATACTTTGTGCTACACAAGTTAAAATTGTTGTGTATTTTAATTTTTTTGTAATAGGAAACAGCACTGTTGTTTGCTTCTATTAAATATTTGCTGTTAACTTGGAAAATAAATTTAGCGTACAACTCTGTTGTGTGTGTCTGAGTTTTAGTGGGGTGAAGGTTCGCTGTGGGAATATGGAGCCTTGTATTTTAAACTTTGTGCGGCTCTACTGCGTATGGAGATTTGTAAGAAAATATATCTTGATGCAGTGGGAATAACTCTTCACTCAAAATGTCTTGAGTATTTGTAAAGTATTTTCTTGTTTGTCTTTGCTTTTAATTTTAAACTGTTCCATTTTTTTTTCCAGACAAATATAGATGTTTGTCCTGTATGTGGCCATGTGAAACAGAAGCATGTCCTTTGTGAACATTGTTATGCAAAGGTTGAAAGAGAAACTAGTCTCATAAGGGCTGAAATAAAGAAAATAGAAGGAGGACCATTTAATACGCCCACTGTAGAGACTCTAGTCTTGTATCAAGGAGAGAAACCCAGAGAACAAGATCAATGCAAACGGATCGTTGAAAGAAACAGGAAGCGTCCATCCTGGTTTCCACTGAACTGATGCCACAAAACTATAGAACCTCATGGTAACAAAACAGTCCATCCAGCAGGAAAGGAGATGTTTCCCAATAATATTTTCATTTTTTAGTTTCTTTAATGCCCAAATAGAAACTGTCACCCTTTGAAATCTGCTTCACGAGCATTTCCTTTCATGTTATATCATCAGAGCCATCAAAATACAGAAAATTAGGAACATGTTGGGGTTGGGAAGACCATTTTTGTGCATTAAGTACTATATATTGCTGTAATGCTGTCTTGATGTTTTTGCAAATTTAAGTTGTCATTTTTATGACCATGAAACAACATAAAAACATACGTGTAAAATAAAGTATATATAGCTCTATAGCAAGACACTTTTTCTTTCTGGGTTTTGGGGGTTTTTTTAGCTTCTGCTCTGAAAAAGTTGTTTGGCTTTTCAGAATTACCTTGTTGCGATCAGCACTCTGGGCCACTGGTGGTCTGTAAAGCTGTGGTTAGCAAACTGGATAGCTCCGGACTCCTCAGCTTCATTTTCACTTAAAAGGTTTACTTAAAGATATGTGGTTGTCTAGAAATTTTGAGGGATGACCATGGTGTCTCGGTCTATAGTAGCAGCACTGAATGAGACATCAAGAATATTTTCAGGAAAAGACAAATGTCAGAGTCTGAAGAGCATGGAGATGAGTTAGCAACTTGGGTCGCTATGAAAAATGTTGTTTGAAATGGGAATTTTGAGTGTTTTGAAGTGGAATTTGTAGCCAAATTCTGTTGCATTGATACATTTACTAACACTGAACTGCATGTGACTGAGGTTATTTAATGTCTCAATTACAAGTGTATAAAATTAACAGTCATCTCAGAAGAATGTGATGAGGCCTTAAGTAATTGAAAGTCATTTGGGGCTACTTGAATGAAAGTGTACTTACTAGAATGTTACGTATAGGCTTGGCAGGATTTGATTTTTATTGGTAAAAGTTGATAAATATTGGTTTCACCTCATACGGACCAATGAAAAACATTCATTACCATTGTTAATAATTAAAATTTATAGAAAGGGGAGGTAAGAAAAATGATGGCTGATGGAGCGTGTGATGATGACAGGGAGAGCAGTCCTACAGAACTGTGATGACTGTAGTTTGGACTGCAACTCCCAGAACAAAGGAAGCAAAGTGACAAAGCAGAGGAGGAAGCTAGGGGCAAGTAGGCTCTGGACGGATGGCAGCTCTACCGCTCAGCTGGCGGCGGTCCTATAGTACTTTTTGTTATAATAAATTGTCTGATCCTCACACCTCTAATTTAACGCAATCCTAAAAAAAGAGAAAAATTGAACTAAACGCTTAAAAATAAACATTAATATGATATATCAAAATTATTATTTTTTAAAATTAAAATAGAATTCTGCCAAGCCTAGCTATATATTTTGTATGGGGGAGTCACGGTTGATCCACAACATCTTCATTTATTTTAACTGATGATGCTGTCTAGAATGCCCAGCTGGTCTCAGAATGTTACAACTTGTCACATAGTGCTTGTCTGCAGTGTCAGGCTGTTACTCCTGTGGAAAGAAAGTGCCTGCTGTTGCCACTAGCTGCTTCCCCTTTTTGTTATCATCAATTTACAGCATTTAGATGGGTCTTCAATTTTGCCATTATACTGTTGTAGTAGTAGCACTGTCATTAATACAGTGACTAGGTTACTGTATAAAAGACGACCTATTTTTTTCCCTCCCCAAAGTGGTCCAAAATAGACATACTTAAGTGAATTAATTGCCGAGCCTTGTGAGGACCTGAGGTAGGCTTAGTGTTCCAAATTTGACAGATTTCTGGAATGCAGCACAGGGACAGAAGACAGAATTAAGGTTGTGGGTGCAACTGATATGTTTCTTAACACTTCATCTCTTGATTTTTTTCCCACCAGAGGTTTAAGCATAGATGCATCAGAGTGTGAGGCACCTAAGTTCAGGGGCATGGAATAGGCTTCCACCCCTGTTTCTAGCCTTCAGACACAAAAAACTGGCTTGAGGACAGGTGTGAAGTTTCCTTAAGATGCATCATGTAGCCCAACATGCAGCCTATCATCCAAAAGAGGAATGAGCAATCAATAGAGGTGAACAAACAGCCACTTCCAAGTCAACAGTAGTTTGAATCCTTCCATATGTGTCCAAGCAGTGACATTACCAACATGATCATGTTCATGCCTATTCCCCATCCAAACACAAAGCCTTGGAAATAAGGAATTGTGTAAATTACATTAAAAATGCATTTTCTTGTTCAGAAGGTGGATGTGATACAAATATGGAAATTTTGGATAGGGGATAGGACCAGTGATGAGATGGACTATTTTTCTCAGAAAAGAAAAAGGCTTTAGGGAATGTCAGTGAATGTAGCTCTAAATATATCAGGTATCCAGGTTGTAGCCCTATTGGTCTAGAGGCAAAAGGAGTTCTGAGCCCTAAATATGAGGTCCTTAGAAGTTTGGGCGTTCTCTTCTGGGGTCAGCCGTATTGGTCTGGCTATATGATATCAACTCAAACCAAGACTGTCTATCATATGGTCCTTAGAGGCACACTGTTTCCTGAAGTGACAAATCTTGGTGCCCACAGACATTGCAATAGCCTGTTGAATAGACATGGTAGCTCTGATGTAAAAAATGTGGAAAGCTTATACAGGTAAATAGTAGAATATGTGATTTAAAGTGTATGGCTTGTCTGGTGAACCATGATAGTTGGAGAGGTCTCACCTGGAAGAAAGTTTCTAGGAGATGCATGTTTAATGGCTATAAAAGCAATAATAGTAATACTTTAGAAGGATTGAGTCAAAGGCATAGCATTGAAAAGATTTCAAGTTGTTGAGCATAGAGTAATTTTATTTTAAAGACCATAAATAACTTTCAGTATTTAAAAAAATAACTTTTCAGTAGTTTTAAAGGACTTGCCTTGCAAAGATTACTTAGTAACAGACAGACTGTCCTCACAGACTCTTTTATTATTCCTAAAGAGAGTCTTAGAAAGTCTATGGCCCTTTTCTCTGAGGGAGAGGTTGTCATAAATATATTTATAGCACTAGGGGGCAGTAGAGCTTTAGTTTTCTGGTACATGGCCAACAAGCTGATGAGCATTTCATTTGAACCAAGTCAAAGGCAGATTTAATAACTCAATGTCTTCAGAAATGACAGGGCTGTAGACAGATTGATTTTGATAATTAAGGAAAAATATGATCGCTGTTATTTAACAGAAGCCTTATCTAATGCAGAGCATTGTTTTGTGTCCTTTTCGTTAGATTTATGTTTAGAAACTTAACTACTGGCTTCCATATATGTTTATATACTTCTGCCCTCTACTGAATGAGTTGTGTGATAGCTATTAGGCCACTGCATGATAGCATTATGGTGAATTACAAGGAGGGAATAAAGATTGTGTATTGGTTTAAAGATTGTGGCTCAGGCAGCAAAGCATCAGAGGGACTGATGAAATGCAGCATATCATTCAGATGGCCAACTCAGAACAGTAAAGAATGACTGAACTTTGTATACAATAAGTGATTATCAGTGGGCGCAGCTACACGTCACCCTACAGTGACATAGTGATCACACAGGTCTACATGTGATCACTAGCTATGTCACCATAGCGGCGCGCTTCCCACTTATAACATGCTGCTACAGCAGGGGTGGGCAAAATGTGCACCTTTTAGTTTTTGGCCATTCTATCCAGCCCACGGGGCCCCTAAAAAATTTAGAAAATTAATCTTAATCTGCCCTGAGCTGCCTGTCATGTGGCCCTCAATGGCTTGCCAAAACTCAGTAAGCGGCCCTCTGCCCAAAATAATTGCCCGTCCCTGTGCTACAGCATCATAGTGGGGAAATCTAAGCACGCGCCACCCATAAGTGCAGTATGGGTACTTACTGGGCCATGCTTTAGTACTTCCAAAAGGAAGTACTAAAGTACGGTGTGCGGGCCGGGAGCGGTCCGAGGCCCTCGGGGGCGCGCAGCGGGCTGTGGCCAGCAGCCCTGGCACGCGGGTCGGGGAGTGCAGGCCGGCGGACTAGAATTAGGCACAGACACTTAGCGGTTGATTAAAGATTATTTTACTTACACCGTAGATGGTCGCGGTGCAGGCAGGAAAACTTGCTTGAGTTGCAGTTACAGACAGGAAAGAAGAAAAGCAGACAAGAGTTCCTTCCACGCGAACTCTAGCCCAATCTGGTTGAAGGCTCTAAAACCGCGAGCCTGTTGTGTCAACCGAAGAAAACAACTCGGAGAAGAGCTCTGGATACACTCACACGAAGTTTGCTAGGCTCCGTGGAACTTGCGCGCAGGGAAGGGGTTCGTCGGGGGATCGTTCGGCAACGGGGAGAGGCCAGAGGTTGATCAGACCCCTATAGCCTTAAGACACGCGCTGGGTTCGTTAGGCCCCGCAGCGCTTAGAGATCTTCACAAGACGTGAAGCCCTCCTCCTCCAGATGGTTGTGGAGTCCTCCCTTGTAGGGTTCTCCTCGGAGTTCTCCAACTTGGGCGGAAACCGCTCAAGCCTCTTATACGGCTAGCAAGCCAATCGCTAGCCGTCACGTGGGAATAATTTAGAACTGGCCAATAGTGGGACACAAATTTGCATGCGGGTGGCGGGAACTCCTTTGCATCGTGCATTTGTCTTTGCAACTGAGAAATGCACCCTGCAAAGAAAGCTCTGAGTGGCAGGAAATAATTTAGCAGTGCCGAAGCGCACGCACACAAAATCACACCCTTGGGTTGTGACACGGCACAGTAACAACATATATAACAACATACAGCAACATATAGATCCAGTGGGTACAAGAAGTGCTTCTGCATAACCTCCATCCTGAGCTCAGTCATTTGACAAAGAGGTCATTCTGCTGGGCCAAAAAGGGAATGCAAACAGAAACAGATGGGACACTGGGGAGAGCTGGAAGGAATGTGGTATTTTGGATGTGAGAAACTGAGTCAGGTTTTGCTCTGAGCTGATGCCCATGAAATGTCATCAAAATCAATGGAGTATAACTGCGGGGCAGAATCTGTTTGTCTTAATGACAATGCTGAAGGCTCAAAACCTTGTTACAGGTTTTGTTTTTTGATGTAAACCAAACAGCCCTGTGATACCACTCCTGGATGCTAACAGTGAATCAACAGAGTGTAAAACTGATTGTGCCTGTGTTTGATGGAAATCATTAATTTCAGTCTATGCTAAGGCTGATAGATGGATGTTCCAAAGAGAAACAACAGCAGCCCTTGCTCCTATAATCACATAAGTATTTGAGAATCTTTTTCCCGAGAGAAGGTAAGTTTCTATCCCTTGTGGTTGTGGAACACAGCATGAACGAAGTGCACCCAGAGGGATCAGAAACTCCAATAACAAAAG